GGCTGGCTTTGCTATGGGATTTTTCTATTTCTACTTTCGAGATCCTGGAAAAGAAATTAGCTGGAAACACTTTGTGCAGTATTACTTGGCCCGAGGTTTGGTGAGGGAATTTTTATCCCTACGGAGAGGGGAGGATCCTATGAGGGTGTGTCCCACGTGCGCTGCTCTCCAGGATCAGACGTGATGCAGTTTTGCTTTTCCCAGTGGTATCCCCAGTGGGCAGTGGCACCTTGTCTTGTGGGGAGGAGGCTCCTTTACACTGTCTTGGCCAAAGACCATCTGTGTTATCTTTGGCTTCTGACTCTTCTTTGCACCCCTTTCTTTCATCAGTCATGTCTCTGACTCAGCTTTTTTTCCCTTTGTACACAAAGCTGCATAGATGATGTGGTGCTCTTCAGGAGATTTGTGCTCAGAAGGGGTGGTGGTGGTGTTCTCCCCCCCTGGAGAAGTGCAGAAGAGAGGGCGCTCAGACCTTCTGTGTGGGGTTCTCCCCTGTGGAGATGTGCAGAAGTAGGGGTGCTCAGACTCTCCGTCTAGGGTTCTGTCCCATGGAAATGTGATCCTGTATGGGGTTCATCCCCAATGGAGATGTGCAGAAGTGAGGTTGCTTAGATTCTCTGTGGGGTTGCTTGGACCTGTGTGGTGTTTCCCCCTGTGGAACTCTGTAGAAGGGAGGGTGCTCAGAAGAGGGCTGGTACTCAGGTTTTCATTGGGAGTCTCCTCTCCTTTCCCAGGAGCTACTCAAATGTGTCAGCTCCTTGGTGGTCTTGCAGAGATGAATTTAGAATTCGAGCAGCTTCTTATTGGCTCTGTCCCTGGGAGAGTGGTTCTTTTCCCATTGGGCTCCGTTTTGTGGCTGAGGCCTTGTCTCCTGGTGCTAGACCCAGGACTGGAAAAATAAAAACAGACCTGAAAAAGGAGTAAAAATGCTGCAGACTGCACCATCCTTTGCCAGCAGTGTTGGCATTTAGAGCCCCAGCCTTGGTGCATAACTGCACACTGTATATCCTTAGCTCTTTGACCACAGGGCCGTCGCTGAATCAGAAGAATCATGAGCAGGAGGCCCCTAGGAGCGTCTCAGGCAAGCTGTGCTGACACTCTTGTCTCACCAGCCCGAAAACTCCCTGTGGTTTTCTCTCTGGTGTGTGTGTCACAGGCATCAGCTGATTACAAGTGTCCTGAGCTCACGTTGGGTGGGATCCACTTGTAGGGCACTTGTGACTTCACACTCCCTGTGTAATCCTCCCTTTGCCTTGGATCTAAACACTGTAGCTAATGTTACCCTTCTCGTGCATAATCAAATGGCCCAAACTCTTGGGCTCCCTTCCAGTGAGTTAATGGCATGGTACTGAGCACCGGCCTCCTCGTTGTGATGGTCCTGGACGTGACATAAGGTGTGGCCAGGTACTGAGCATTGGCCTGGATGTGAGGTGCTGAAAGATGTGGCTTGGATGTAGAGTTGACACCATGGGAATTCTAGCAGCATTTTCCGGCACTATAGGTGGTAGGCAGTGTTTTCTCCTGCTCTGTGTCCAGGACCGCCAGACCGCCTTCTCATTGTCTCTGCTGTTATGGTTGTGCTTCTCTGTAGGTAGACCGTCTGGAAGTTGTGAACAAGCAATATGTGCGAGTAATTCCTTCCCAAGGGACATCAGCAGAGGTGAGCTCCCAGGGTTTGCTTTATCTCTTGGTATAAAGTGTAGTTTTCTGCTTATGTTTTCAATAAAACACCTACCTACTTTTTTACCAGAGCCCCTGTTTTGGAGATAACCAAGTCCAGGGCTGGGGCTAAGTTCTGTGGTTCCCGCTGGGCTGAGTGGTTTGGACTGGGCTGTGTAGTTCCCTCTGGACAGTGTGGTTCGGACTGGGCTGTGTGGTTTAATCTAGGGTAATGCTGGACTGATTAGTTGGGACTGAGCTGTGTGGTTCAGTCTAGGCTGAGGTAGGGCTGAGTGGTTTGGGCTGAGCTGTGTGGCTCAGAATGTGCTGATGCTGGGCTGAGTGGTTCAGGACTGGGCTCTGTGGTTCTGGCGGGGCTGGGGCTGAGCTGGGCTGAGTAGTTTGGAATGGGCGGTATGGTTCCAGTTGGACTGGGCTGGGGCTGGGCTGAGCTGAGTGGTTCAGGCTGGGCTGGGGCTGAGCTGAGTAGTTTGGAATAGGCTTTGTGGTTCTGGCTGGGCTGAGCTGAGGCTCTACTGAGTGGGTTGGGTCAGGCAGGGCTTGGGGGACTTTGTTCTCAAAAAGGAATTTGCAGATGTGAACTGTGCCTTTTGTTCTTTGGCTTGGTCTTCTCCGTATCTCTATAGAAACTCGTCTGGTTCAGTATTGGTAGCGTTGACACCTTTGAGCGAAATCTTGAATCTGCACAGTGGGAACTGGGCATCGAGTCTGCCAACCAGGTGGCTGTTGTCTACACAACTGAGAGTGACGGGTGAGTCACAGGTGTGGACGGCACAAGCCTGCAGCAGCAATCCACTGTAAATGCGTTAGCTCTGATTTTGTGGAGCAGAGAAGGAAGTGAAGGTCCTTGGAAAGCAACCTTAGAACAGCCTGGTGGGAAGATCACATGGTCTAGCTATGACCAGATGTCCTGGACACCCCCTCCCTCCAGGCTGAAGCCTCTCCTGAGGTCCAGTCAGGCAGCCCCCTGGGTAGCCCCTGGATAAAGCCTGGTTTCGTTGGGCAGACAGGTGAGGGTGTGAATTTGGAAATATTTTGGAAAAGAAACTTGTCTTTTGTGCAGCAGAACAGCTGCTGAAATTTGCTGAAGACACATTTTGGCTTGTGCCAGAGTGCAGTGTGACGTTCGTTTTCTTATGTTTTCAGCTCTTTCCTGCGAAGCCTGGTACCCACCCTGATCCTCGCTGGGATCCTTCTGTATGCTCTGCGGAGGGGGCCAATGAGAGCTGGGCGCGGAGGGCGCGGAGGGGGCATCTTCAGTACGGGAGAGACGACAGCAAGGGTTTTGAAGAACAGTGTGAATGTGTGCTTTGCTGATGTAGCTGGCTGTGAAGAGGCAAAGTTGGAGATTATGGAGTTTGTGAATTTTCTGAAGAACCCCAAGCAGTATCAAGACTTAGGAGCTAAAATTCCAAAGGTACCGTACTGGCTCCAGAGAGGGCTGTGTTGTGTGCTGTCCAGTGTGGGACGTCGTGTGTCTTTTGTCAGCTGCGCCAGAATGTGCACATGGCTGAGTGGAAAGGGACACGAGAACCTGTCAAGTAATGTGCCTGAGACCACAGTATGCTAGTGTTTAGTGTGACACTGGGTGTGAGAGGACTGACCCCAGACACCCTCTGTACGTGTCCCCTTTGTGTTTGCCTGAGAACTGGGGTGCAGACGATGCCACCTCTTCCCGGGGCTTTGGCTAGCTTGTCCTGAACAGCTTAGTGCCCCAGCACTTCAGATCTGGGTGACAGTCTGAGGCCACTGTTAAGCAGAATTCCTCTCAGGCGCTTGCCTGTTAAAGGAATGCGTGGGCTCAGAGTGTGCTGTGAATCCCTGTCATGCCCTCCTGAGTGTGAGTGATGTTGATACCCTACAGGGAGCCTCACCACGAATCGTTCCTATAGGGCATGTGGCTCTTCTACCCAGGGACATGATCAGCTGCCTTCTAGAACAGTCTGCACTGGCAGGGTAATGCATGAGCCAAGAGTGCTGGGCGCAGCTGCCTCTGTCATAGCTCGAGGCACCAGCACTGTCTGCCTGGTCAGTTGGGAGGGTCGGGATCAGTGAGTGGTTCTGCATGAACACCTTGGCGTGTTTGTTTTGTTGTCAGAGACTATTGAAAAGGGCAAATGCTGACTGGAGTAGACGAGACCTCTCCTTTTCCAAATTGTATTGTGTTTTCAGGCATAATAATGTGTACTATGACAGCTGAGGTCTATTGCACGAACAGAGAGTGACTTTAAACCTTAACGCCCTCATCCAGAATGAAGTAGTCACAGGTGAGGATGGGAACAAATATGAGCCTGTCTGAGCCTCTGGAGTAAGGCTTTGGGAGCATTGTGCTAGAGTGTAGAGAGCCAGTGTCACAATTTGATGAATCTGACAGTTGTGACTTAAATAAGCACTTTGCCCTTTGGTTTAGCATGCTGCTCTAAGAATTCCCCTATAGAGCTACACGCCCACCGATGGGGGTCAGCATCCATACCCTGCCTGAACCAGTGATCCTACAAGCAGGAGGGCCTGAAGGAATGTCCACTGTGTTCACATAGCCTCGAGGCAGCCTGATTGTTTTGTGTGGTTGGTTTTTGTTCAGTTTTTTTATCTTCTTTATTTATTGTCCAGCTTTCATAAATACTGAAAATACCATGGCTTGGGTCAGACATAGCTTAATCCTCAAAGTGATACTTTTGCTTTTTTTTTTGGTAGATTTTAATGAAAGTTTATAAAGAACTTGGATTTCCATGCGTTCATTGCTGCAGAGGTGGCCCGTTTGAGAACACAGACACCTAGAAACTTAGGGGATGCATGGTGTTTGCTCCATATTTGTGAGGACTCAGTGGCTTCTCGTTCTAGGGAGCTATGCTCACAGGCCCCCCTGGCACTGGGAAGACCCTCTTGGCCAAGGCAACCGCAGGGGAAGCCAGTGTGCCCTTCATCACCGTGAAC